CCATGAGTTCTCGCCGTGTTTGTAATTGTGGGCAGACACCTATTCTCCCTCGCGAAAATATTATTTTTGCGGGTTGAATGGCCGATCTTCGGGTTTCAACGTACTCCAGCCGTACAGGGGGTTGCCGACCCAAAACGGCTCAGCTGGTGTTTGTCCATCCACATCTCCTGTCGGAGTATTTCTGTATAATAGGATAAACAGGTTCAGGTAGTCGAATTTCAAACCAGCGTCCCACATATTTATCATTGCACTCTGGAAATTGTCCACTAACCCTTATGCTGTCAGCTATATTTTGGGTGAAAGGCGGTGACGTTCCATGCCAGAGTTTCACTTAGCGCTATGAGATGTGGTTGCACATGGTCCATGGTGTGTTTAAGTTCATTCAATTTGTTGAATAGACTCGGTATATTTGTTTACATCACCGTCATGTTCTTGGCTTCATTCAATATCGCATTGCACGGTAACAAATAAATCATGCTGTCCCGTTTCGGATTGCATGAACACATTTGCTCCCTTTTCTTTGCCAACGTCTTGCTGTTGGCTTACGTGACTCACTTCTATTTGAGGTAATGGATTGGGCAGAAAGCCAGTGATGCTACTGCAAAGTAGCTGTGAGGTGCATTCGACGACTGCGACAGGGCTTTAATGCAGCAAAATGAACGCGTCAGGAAACAATTGTTACTACCTACTGGCTACTACTGGCGCTATAGGGCATAATTTATATTTCATCGTTCCTTTCTTATGACGGTGTATACCTTCATGTGTTGTTCGAAGGTTTGATAAGCACTTACAGGCTGTAATAACAGACTAGTTTGATTTCACATAACCGTTTAGCATAGTGTTGACCTCGTTAAATATAAATTAGTCGATACTCATTTAAATGACCAATTTGAAAACACGACGTAGTTTTTCTATTGGCTCTTGCAGTTAAGTAACGTATGGTTCGTTGTTTTTGTCGTGAGGAAGTTTAAGTAGCAAGCCTTAACAATTTACGTTGCTAAAAATGAGTCTCCGAAAAT